ACATTTATGGCTGTGGCAGAAAAGTGCTTAGAATCACGAAAATCAGATGGAGACAAAGACGGAAGCAAAGATGGCAGCACGAGAGTAAATGATTTTTATTCGTTGATAGAGTTTATAACCAATACAGCGATAAAAGAATTTGAAAACCACTGGCATTCTGTTTTCAAAGATCCAGAAACGTTCAAATTTGAGGAAATGAAGTCGATGCTTGTCAATTTTAAGGATGAAAACCAACTTGATAAGGAGTTCGAAATCCTTAAAAACTTTTTCCGTGAGCCAATTTCTGGGAGTGTTGAAAGCTACACCAAAAACTGCCTGATGTACCAAGAAGCAGAAAAACACCTTGAAGGAAGCAGCCCAATTAAATTTAAAAATTCCAAATTAACCAATATGTTCGAAAAATTTAAATCATGTCTACCAAAACAAGACACACTTACTTTGGAAAATTTCAGCAAATTCAGGAAAACGTTACAGAAATTAACTTTAGCGTTTTCGGAAGAAGTCCTAAAATGGGTGTCTAAGAATTCGATGTCCAGAGAATTGGTTTGTTTCTTAGAACAAATTGTTGACGAAGACATGAGTTTACTGATTGGTGCTGTCGACGAACATTTCGAAAAATTTGTTTCCGAGTCATCAGTTTCCGAACTTATTTATGTTCATAGTTTTCTAAAGCCTTTCATTAAAAGGAAAAAACAGGAATGTAATTCCATGGACTTCTTGAGGATGCTGAAACAATCGTGTGATGGTGATAAAGATGTAGAAAAAACGATTCAGAAGTGCAGTATGAACGTGCACAGTCTTCGTGGGTGGTACAAGAGCATTGCGAACCGAGGAGAGATGACTAAAGAAATCATCAGTAATTGCCTAAGCAGAGGAGAATACCGGTTGTCACAAAAAGATGGAAAATGCGAAACTGAGATGAGTTACGAACCTCAGGAAGATGGTGGAAGTAAAAAATATTATTCTCTCCCGGAACTACAAGATTTACAAAGTCGTGCGCATCTCATTGCTACTTTTCATGGGAATAAGAGTATATCGAGTGATTCAAACAAATACAACATGGATTCTACCAAATGCAGTGAGAACATTGACTTTGATAGCTTTATAGAACAAGTTGACCTGCTAACGGAAATTTCTACCCTTCTATCGACATTGCGTTTGTCTGGGTACGTGAAATATCGAAACATTGAGATAAATATTAAGACAACTGAAAAACTGAGGAAACAAAGAAACACCCTACTGAAAGATAAACAAAAATGGGAAAACGACCTGGTTTACGCGCGTAAACAATATTGCTTTCTCAACTTCTACCGCTCTGACCAAATCTGCATAATATACGATTATTTAATGAATGGATCGAAAGTTAATTGTGACGAAGTTGCTTCTTTGATTCATTTCATTGACCCAACTATAAATGAGCAGCAGGTAAAGCAGCAACAAAGCCAGAAATCAGATTCAAACGACAATCCAGAGTTGTTGCTAAGGATTGTGGGCACAGCGTTAGATGAAATCTTCCGTGAATCAAAACCTGTCGACAGACTGATACCAGAAGACTGTCAAAGTCAATCACACCCCACGATGGAGGCTACAGTTACCCCGGGAGAGATTTTTGTTGCGAGTTTGGAGCCGGGAAGTCCATTAACCGCCAACGTAATCCTCAAACTGTACGAAAACACATCAAATACATTTCCTGAACCGTACCAAATTGTTTTCTGCAGTTCCCAAACAACGTGGGAGGAAATATTCCTTTTACTGCAGAGATGTTTCACACATTCGAAATACTGTCATAAAAAATTGTTTTGTATTGCGAATGTTGAATTGCTACTAAATGAAATCCAATTTAAATTGGTCAACGCGCTTAGAGAGAAACAAAATTGCCATGAAAGATCCAAGGATGAAGAAACGGATTATCGTCTTGCTTTGATTTGTCGAGGAGGCGACCATCATCACATTGTGGAACAGTTTGCCCAATATACCCACCACATTGCCGGTTTGAGTGATTTATCTCTTGGATGTCGTCTCCAATCTGGTTGGCCCAACGTTAAAATGATCACATCAACTCTTCCTGGTATGGGGAAAACGGAACACATCAAACGTGATGTGCGGGAGAAAGGTATAGCCGTTGCTACATTTCCAATCAGTGGCCCATTTGAACCAAGCAAACTCATCCGGCGTTTAAAAGACTTCAAGCTTGAGAACTATCATTGTCTGCATCTGGATGTTGGCGAAGTAAGTGATCCGTTGTCTTTGGACACATTCATATTTCAACTGATTGTCACAGGAATGGTTTCAGCTGGAAATCAATTCTATCATCTACCAACACCACACATCTACATTGAAATCGCGAATACGCAAAGAGATTGGCTTCGCGAGTCATTCGTAATATTACAGTTTTTCACTCGTACTCATTTGAGATGGCAAAATTACGAGAATCTTGTAGTTAGTTCTGAAATAACAAGTAATATCCAAGTTGTTTGTCAGTATCTACATATCTTTGATCAGTCTCGCATTGAATCGGAAGATGTTCATTTTAGCGGATCAAAAAAGTCAAAGCCATTGTCAACTAAGCGCTGCCAAGAGCTTCTCGCAAAATATTATTCCTCAAATGCCGACATCAGCTTTACAACGCTTGACGCTTTCCTTGGATTTCTGGCTGATCAGCTTTCAAAATTATCCAAGAGTGCTTTTTTTAAAGTCGTTCATATCAAATCTATGATTGGAAAAGAAAGTCAACGTGTCCGTACGAAACTCTTCGATGGACTTTTAAAAGTATCAAAGGAATTTGCATCCCGTGCCTTAGCTACTTGCCGCCCCAGTGATGATATCAATTCTCTAAAGGCGTTGGACGAATCGATGGCCTCAACTGTCAAATCAGCTACATACATGGTTGAACGAGTAGCAAAAATGATAAGGTGGGAGCACAGTAATCATTTACTAATTGTGTTTCATGGTCGCAATTCGCAAGCAATTACTGCCATGTATCGAGACATACGCTTTGTTCCTGCAAGTGTCAAAGAGCTGTTAAAAAGTCAAGGTGTGAGAGGAAATACAGAGCTAGAAGATTTCAACGAGTTTGATCAAGAGCAACTACAAAATAAGTTACAGAAGATTGTTTGTACGAAATCGCATGAAAAAGAGAAAAATATTTCCGAGGGGACAAGTACGTATGCGTTGACTCCCGATAACATCCTGAAAATGGTATTAATCATATTACGAGTACGTGCGAATGTTCCAGTTATCATCATGGGGGAGACAGGCTGTGGAAAGACCAGTCTTATAAGGTATTTGGCCAATACATGTGGCGTACAGTTCTGTACATTCAATTTTCATGCTGGAATATCAGAAGAAGATATCGTTGCATATATTCGGGAGAAAAATGAGAGCAACGAACAAATGTGGATTTTTTTGGATGAAATAAACACATGTGATCATCTAGGAATCATCAGTGAAATGATATGTCATCATTCCTTGCTGGGACAACCATTATCGAACAGTCTTGTTTTCCTAGCGGCTTGTAACCCATACGTTTTACGTTCTGAAGAAAAAGTCAAGACAGCCGGTCTCAAAGACAAGCAGAATACAAGTGAAGAATGTTCTAAACTAGTGTACCGTGTGCATCCATTGCCTGAAGCTATGGTTGACTATGTTTGGGATTATGGTTCACTGGCACCAGAAGATGAAAGAAACTATATTAAGAGAATGGTGAAAGACCTGCCAAAGGAGTATGAGGGAATGCTTGTTGACTTGCTAGCTACTTCTCAAAAGTTAATTCGGGAGGCTGAAAAGAATCGTTTTTGTGTCAGCTTACGCGACGTGCACCGCTGTATTCACCTGATCAGCTGGTTTGAGAAGACGTTCAAGTTGCGGCAAGAGCTTAAGGGAAACGAGGATGAGTACCTCAGCTATCTTGAGCAATACCATTCGATTTCACAACAGTGCAAAAATGATCCGACGATTAGGAGTATTGTCCTCGCTCTGGCACACTGCTATCTTTGCAGATTACGAACTGCAAAGTTTCGAAAGCGTTACCGAGAATCCATGATGGACATATTTAATCATGATAAGGCCATAATGACCTACAATGCAGATTTAGATACTTTTGCGGCCATTCTTCGTGTGGAAGAAGAATACTATTTGGATAGGATGGAACTCCCTCCTGGCACAGCAAGAAACGCAGCCCTACGTGAGAACGTCTTTGTTATACTTGTTTGCATCTTAAACCGCATTCCTGTTTTCGTATTTGGTAAACCTGGCTGCAGCAAATCATTATCTATCCAGCTCATTCGAAGTAATCTACGCGGAGAAGCCTCACGTGATCTATGGTTTAGAACGTTGCCACAACTTTACGTTGTCTCATATCAAGGCTCAGAGTCGTCCACATCCGAAGGAATCATCAAAGTGTTTGAAAAAGCGGAAAAATACAAGTCACACAACGAAGAGGAAAACGTTTTGCCCGTCGTTTTGCTAGACGAAGTTGGGTTAGCAGAGAAATCAAGGCACAACCCTCTCAAAGTTCTTCATAGTTTACTGGAACCTGGTGAAGGAAAATTTCCTGATGTGGCAGTTGTGGGAATTTCTAATTGGTCGTTGGATGCTGCCAAGATGAACCGAGCAATTACTCTCTCTAGAATAGAACCAACTATAGAAGATCTGTTTGAGACAGGAAAATCGCTGTACAGAGCTGGTGGCGGAGATTGGGAAACTTTTCAAAGAAAAAGATCTACAGTGTTTAGCTGAAGCCTATTTCGAATACCAGGCTACACAGAGCTATGCCAATTTCCATGGTCTTCGCGATTATTACTCTCTAATTAAAAACTTGGCAGCTTCCCGAAATCACAAAGAAAACAATAACATTTCATTACTATTACAACGTAATTTTGGTGGCCTTCCCGGAGAAGAGACCAACATTCAGAAGATTTTCCTCGCCAAGTTGAAGTTATTTGATGGTAAAGAGATTACTCCAGTGATCGATCTGATCCAAGCGAACATAAAGGATCCCCTTGCCCGCCACTTAATGCTCATTAGTAATGGAGATTCAGCCATTGACATCCTGAAAGAAAGTCTTGTTGAGCTAAAGGAAGAAACTATCACAATTTTCGGAAGCCGCTTCGAAGAAGATTCGTCGGATGCATATAACTATAGAATTTTGAGTCGTATTATTCTTTGCATGGAGAGGAACTGCACCCTGATATTAAAAGACCTGGAAAACATCTATGGCAGTTTGTATGATATGTTGAACCAGAATTACGCCGTTGTCGGCAACACCAAGAATTGCCGTGTAGCTCTTGGAGCTTATAGCAACCCGATGTGTCAAGTAAACGAAGGATTTCGTTGCATTGTTCTTGTTGATCAAGTGGACTGTTCTGACCCACCATTTCTTAACAGATTCGAAAAGCAGCTTCTACGCTTTTCTGACGTGCTTACCATTGACCAACAGAATATTATTACCAACCTCAGGCACTGGGTTCTGGGAATGTCCAGAGTGAAAGGATTGGAATCACATTTTAAGGAGATAGACATGTTCATTGGTTTCTACGAAGATACACTGCCATCTTTGGTTTTATCTCACGGCCGTGACACAGATAGCTCAACTTTGGAAAAATGTAAAGATGAATTGATGTGGATTGCGTCCCCTGATGGCGTGCTTCGGACAAGAAAATGCACATATTTGAACGAGGATTCACAGCAGGTCGAGAAATTGAGGAAAAAGTATTTCAATGGACTAATTCACCAAGGTTTCTCTGTCTTTGTGGAACACGTTATCAGCCAACCAGAATCATCTTTCTTTGCTGGTGATGAAATAAGCTCCAAAATGATCGTCATGACATTTGCCAACATTCATACAGATATTCGTCAGTGTTTGGAGGCAAGCTTGAAGTTGAAATGCCAAGCTGAACGGCTTGGTGCATATAAATCTGAAAAGCAACTGACTGAAATGATCAACAAATATTGGAATGCACCAGAAAAGGAGTTATTAGTTTTGCAGTGTAAACCAGATTTGGATGGTAAACATCTATTACTTGCACGCTTCATTATCGAAGAGGAAAGAAATGCCTACAAGCGAGGATTAACAGGAAAGAAAGCACGAGGGAAGAAGCATGTTTGTATTGTTGTACACGTTCGACGCGGAGAAGAAGCAGATGTTTCCTGGCAGTTTAATTTCGTTAGTCGTTGGAGACTAGTATTCCTTGACGTCCTTGAACCACCCCCAATTCCACTGAATGAAATACTTGGTAAAAGCGTCAAAGAGCTTCTTTCATCTTCCATATGGCCACTCAAGAAAATTGCACAAAGCCAACTCTTATGGTGTTTCACCTGCCTTAAATATACCAGTATCCAACGACCTTTGCGAACTGTTTTTCACATTGCAAAGAATCTCTTGAAATCAGAAGCGGTTTCGAAAGTAATCAAGCAATTAATTTTGGAGTCAATTGACCTAAAAGCATCAAAACATCAGGGTACATACTCTGATTGGCAGGTTGAGGTTGCTTGTGACCGCCAGGCGTTAGTTAATTCATCCACTCTTTATTATGCCATGAAGCAGTTTGTGTCCCGGTTAGTCCGAAACCCACTGTGTAAAATTGTTTATTTCTTGGAAAAGGAAAATGCATGGCCACCTCATCTGACTCAAGAGCCCAATGACATCATGAAAACAAAATTGGAAGACTTATGGTGCCAATTGCTCGTTGAAACCAAAATTTTTAAAATGTCGGATATCCCAGAGCTACTTGGAGCGGAATCATGCGTGGTTGAAAGCACGAGCCTAGATCTAAGCCTACCTTTTAGCCAACTGGTAAGCAGAAAGGTCGATGATGTCAAGGAACTGTTTTTAGAAGATTACGCGAAACTCCTGGAAAACGACGATGACGACAAAAAGGCTAAAAAGAGAGTTCGAGAACAGCAAGTGAAACGATTTACTGTGATGATCACAAATTTGGTTCCTGAACTTAGTGCTTACACTTTTGATTGTTACGACTTATACATGAAAGATATTTTAGATATGACGACTGCGAACTTCAGCCAAACATTAAGTCGTTCTATCCGGGTGTCCATAGCACAAGCTGTATTTGTTTCGGAGGAAAGGCCGGATTTGCCACCGGATGATATGGCCGAGTTTTGTACACTGCTTCACACCTTCGTATGGGTTAATCGCAAACAGATTAGTGACTTGATGCAGATGATTTGTGTTTGTAAGCCGTTTATAGGACTCGAAGTCCTAGCAGGTTTAATTGAAGGCATCCTTTGCAGCTCGGAGGAAGTGAGATTATCACAAACACTCCCTAGCGACCAGGAAGAAGCTTTCACAGAAACAGGAAGATTAAGAGACATCGTGGTTACGGCGTACTGTGAACAAATGTTTCCTTCTCCTACAAATGTCGAAAAGAATGGTGGCCCCTACGCATGGACACGAAACGCAAATTTACTGCTCTCATCGGCGACCAAGATAAGTGAATATCCACCCGCTTTACATTACCTACGTTTATGTGTGGATTTTTCCAGGATTATCCTACCTTTAAATTCATCTTTACTGAATACTCTCAACGAAATTGGCATGGCCCTTAAACCTGAATACCTCGATAACGATAAATCATTTGAAATGGTTACTACATATCTGATAGCACCACTCAAAGAGGGAATCAGAGATAATGATGATAAGAAAGAAGCTCTACTGAAGTTTTTGGCTCTGTTCTATGGACGTTGCATCGACACGAATGTTGATGCCTTCTGTGTTCGTTCAATAATTGAGCAAGTTCTTTCTTTGAAGGAATCGAAGTTTGCAATGATGATGAGTCCTGTTGTGTTACGGCTACTCGAGGTGGAAGAAACACAGACGCCTGGAATATTTATGGACACAATTTCCAATCCAAGTGCTTTGGAGGACTGTCCTTGTCTGCTGAATATCGACGAAGCTTTCAAAAATCTTTGCTCGATAGATCATGATTCGTATCCAGCGGTAATGATTTGTGATTTAATTGGACTTTTGTTGAAATTTGATCGTTTTAAATCCGGAGATCGAAGTAAGAGTGGCACTTTTAAATTTGACGACGTTAATAGCCCTAATTGTGAAGTCCTTTTGCTTGCTAAATCCGCCATAAATTTGATATCCCAAAACACTGAAGATGAGCGTGGTTTAAGAATACTCGCAGCCGTTGCATTCCTTCGAAGATTCATCACAAAGTTAGCAGAGTTTATTGCTAAAAACCCTGGTGTTATGATCAATGACGGTCCATATACTCATGTGCTGAATGAAATTAACTCACTGTTGAGAAAGCCAAAAATCCCATTACGAGAGTTCTTCGTAAAAACACTTCACAAGCACTTAAGTTTATTTGATTTAGAAAAGTTATCTACACAGAACGAAGTTCTTCCAACAGTAAAAAACTTGTGGCCTAATGATGCTTTGTATCAGGATAAAGCGGTGTTTACCTCTGTGTTGATGTTTTCCGAGTATAAAGAGGCGAAGGTTGCTTACTTGAAATTGTTGTCAAACGATGATTCATCAATGCGAGGGTTTTTGAAAACAGCCAATCGATCTCCGAACCATGCTTTTGCTCTTCTTGGAGTTCTCATAAACATGATATACTTAAAGCGGGCTGTGCGAAGAATCACGGATAAAGAAGCACAAATAGCCATGTGGTTTGTTAACAAGATTAATTCGTTCCCGAGGATGTTCCAGGAACTTTTGTTACGAATTATTGGCCGTCGTGATTTCCATTGTTCACAACTTCAACTTTCAACGGAGTCATCAGTGAATGAAGTAGAAATGGCGCTATTAATTCTTCACGTTGCCTGCGTAGTAGCCACCAGTTCACTTAACGAAAAAATGCCAATTTATTGGTACTTCACGAAACCTTTTAAATTTACACAGCCTTGTGTTCTTGCCCATTGTAAGGAGATGCGTTCCGTATTTCAACACCTACCAAGCGTCGAAGAATCAGCCCGTGCTACCTGTTGTTCATGTGGTTTAAGATTGGCTTTTAAAAGCAATATCAATGAAACAGTTTGTCCACACTGTCAGGAAGCATTGAAAGATGAGACAGAGTACATTGCCTCTTCCGAGACGTTTTCGACTCAGTCACTACTCTCCAGTTGTTGTAATTCAAGTTTGGATTCGGATCTCTGCACAAAAGAAATGCGTCCAGCGGTTTTTCGAGCTTTACACCTCATCGTATACTCGTCCTATTACGCTGGAATTGCTCTTGGAACCTCGACGGGGGAAGATGTGTCACGCGTTTTGAATATCGTACACGGATATGATCCTAAAATTGATACCAAAAGCTCAGCAGATTTTTGTTTTGAAATCATCGAATCCGATCTACTGCATTTAATGAAAATTCTTAATAGTCAAAAAGATGTTGTAATGAAAACCATGCATCTCGTGCTTGAAAGAAGTTCAGCTCTGATCAGAAGTAAAGACTTACTAGGATCAAACGACTGCTCAACACCAGAGATGTGTCGAGAGTGGGAAGACGAGTTTGCGAAGCACACGAAAGCAGTGCTCCTGAAGTCACGAAAATTGTCAATGGAAATAAAAGGGATGATCAAACTGCAACAGACAAACGACAGTCAAGCTAAGGTTACATTGGAAGACTGGATTTTGGAACTTGACGAATATCCTGAACATCGTGAAGATAAGAACCAGCAATTAAAGAGATTATTTCGTATGACGAAGCAACCATGTTTTGAGGATTTCCGTTCGGCATTTTTGCATTCTCCAGAAAAGATTCAATCAAAGCATAGTTTCCTGTCCTTGTTCTTTGCAAAGTTTGAGCAAATCAGAATCGGTGGCCATCTTTATCACCTGTTGAAATGGTCTCGGCTTGTATCATCAGCATTGTCCCATCGCGTCAGCAGAAAAGATGCAGAATCGAAATCAATCAACGACTTTATAACTGGCCATCTTCTACAACTAAACCGCACTCCAGAAGAAAAAAGCAGCTTGAAGGCGTCCTTTGAAAAGTTTCAAAAAGCGTGGAATGAAGTGTGTCTGTTAGTTGACCAAACAAATAACAAAGAGAAAATGCCTAGTTTGATGGAGACAGATTATGTAGCCTACTGTTTAACAGAAGGTGAATATGGTATCCACCTTAGAAACGCTATTGAAATCCTGGTTTCACATCAAAATTCGATCTTAGATGCGATAATTTCTCTCTCATCGCGTCACCATCCGGCTTTAAGTTTCCTCGAACAAGAAAACTACAGCAGTGTCGCGATCGCATCGATTCAAAACGTTCAAGAAAAAGAAATAATCAATTTCCAATGGTCTGATGAGTTGTTGAAATACACACCAAGGAATCTCGAGTATGGTAAAGGTCACGAAATTGCGTATGATTTTGAGCGAATAGAAATTTGGCTTGCAGAAACAATCGCGTTTGGAAAGTGTTATTTGACAGGTACACTGAACGAGTTCATATTCGCAAAGGAACTGTTCCACTCGTATGGTCCTTTATTGACAGAGTTTCGACAGTTAATAAAACCTTGCATTACCTTGCCGAAAGATGTACGCAAAGATCTGGATGAGCTAAAAGAGCAGAGGATCAAGGACGCCCAAGATCTTCTTCAACATATCGAAGTGCTCATCTTCTTGCTTAAACGAAACTTGAAGAACATCAACGTGGATATGACATTGAAAGTTTTCACTGAAAACTGTCCCACTGAAATCCCCTTTCCAATAGAACTCTTACCTCAGTCTGGAAGTTCGATCAAGATAGAACACGTTGCTGCACTTTACGAAGCTCTTGAAGACGTTCTTGCTGATGGTGCTATCGAAGGACTTGATGGAAAGTTTAGGAAGCAAATGACAGACGGCATGGAAAAAACCGTTACCGCTATGACAAACAGAACGACTGGCGGTGTTCAGTTGAAGGCAAGCGATTTCTTGAGAGTGCTTCGTCGTTTCGTTTTCCGTTACCTTTCATCTGAAAAGTACTGGCCTGAGGAGAGTACAACGTTGCAAAATCATTTGAAGAAACCTTCGCTCTGGTTCCCATTGAAACCACCAAATATGGATGACATCCCGAAAGAGATTACCCTAGAATACATCTACTCCATAGTGAAGTATCTTGAAGAAGAGAAAGTAAGTAATAACATTATGCGCAATAAGTATGCTTGATACTCCCATGCACCATGAGATTATTTCTGAACACTTTATCCAATCCACTTGGTTCAGGTTTTAGGCTTTAGGCTACCCCGCTGTTAAACTAAATTTTGAACTTGGAAAGTCAGCAGTACAGCTAGCTGGAATAGAAAATTGGCATAAACAAATAGCATAAAAAATTGGTATAAAGTAAAGAGTGAATGTGAAAAGTGAATTAAATGCGACAATTAAAAAAATAACTTAAGTAAAAATTACCAATTTTACTGATATGAACACTTTTTTCCATAGAAAAAGGCAAATACATCAGGGAAAGTAACCAACTTTGGCGGCCGACGTCAGCTTAGAAAGGTGTCGCATATAGCATGACATAAAATGACACAGCCTCATTTATAGATAGGCGACATAATGCTTTAATTATTCTTAAGGTAGCGTTGTAATGAAGATTTAATATGTAACCATAGGTATTAAAGGTAGATAATTAATTGAAGTGAATACAATGTGACGTGAAATGTTAAACTTGAAAGCTACAGTTCCAGATTTTTCGAAGAAAAATCGTGAGCGATGCATGGGCGTGGAAAAAAACACGCAGTTTTGAGAACCGACAGCTAAAATCCTAAACGTTTTTAGAAATTAAATACCATTATATCCTGCCAGAAAAAAAGTCAAATTGAAGGTTAAAACTGGCTAAAGCTCAGTCATTATGGTGTCATTAAAGTTGTATTCACTTCATTATGTACTACGTCAAATGTTCACAGTATAGTGGATCTATTGACAAAACCATGGTATGAAATGAAACACACTCCGATAAACAAAGACATCTTACAAACCCAAGATTTGATTTATAAAGGCCTATTTACACTACCATTTGTGGTATACGATTCGTACCCTGGCGTATGTGAACGTAAGAACACACGTACAAACGTGACACTTTAAATTCCACACTGAACAATATGAATGAAGATTGTGATATAGGCCCTCTTTTACATCCGTCAGAATGATAATTGCATACAACTTATCGTGTAGTCTAAATAGGCCTTAAAAAGACAAGAAGCGATTATTCAATTGGTGATATTTCGACTCTATTTCAGAATCATTGTCAAACCAGACACCAGACTAAATTATTTACAAGCTTGTTAGGTCTGTATACAGGAAAGATGACGTTATCAACTAGAGGAGATGAGAATGTTAGGTGTTATATTACAATTGGCAACAAAGATTACAGAGACACAATTAATTCCATGAAAATAAGAAATGATTCTGAAATAAAGTCGAAATATCACCATGGAATTGGATAATAACGTCTTGTCTTTCTTATAAATCAAATCTTGCATGGGTTTGTAAGATGTCTTTGACTTTGTTTATCGTAGCATGTTTTATTTTATACTTTTTGAAATTGTCTTCTAGTAAAGATTTTAAATCATAGTATACCACAGTATAGTGGACCTTTTAAAAAAACAAAAAAAAATGCTAGAAATAGTGACTGTAGTAAGTCTTTGTAGATGAGGAGCTGCCTCTTATCCCGGCTCTTGTGAGGATTGGCACATTTTGACAATTTCCCTTTGGAGCCTGATGATACATCAATGAGAACAATTGCATGTATGCAATATAAATGAGAGGCGACCTCTAGTATGTAGCTTTTCCACTTTCAACATAATTGCACATAACAATGTTTTGTTATTGTTGTTTTAGTAATCAAACTATAACATATTAAACTGCTTTGATTTTATGCTAAAGAATATAGTTCTTATTTCAGTTATTTGATACAGGACAAATAATTGTACATTACTTGTCCCAAGTTATGAATGATTCAGTGTTGAAGTTGATAGTATATGAACAGCCAAATTTTCAACGGAGCTCAAGATACGCCGTTTTCAGAGGACCTGGCCGTCGACGAAATATATAATCAACAATGCGAGGCGAAAACGAAGCGGATAGGCCGTATTCTGTGGCACGAAAAGTCGCTTAGAAAACGATTTTCGTTGCCCCCCTTCGGGCACTACTTGAAAACACGATAGAAAAATAGGATAAATTATAAAAAGTCTAAATTCATTTGTTTTCACCTTCACAAACTTGCAGTTTTCGACCATTTCATCTTCGAAAAATCAGTAAATTTGCATGTTTTGAAATACACCGACGCCATTTTGATTCAGGAAATGTCCCAAAAAATACTTGGTGTAATATACAACATATATAGCAGAATCAGCAGTTTTATTTGTAAAGGTGGCGTCTTCCGACTCATGTCTAATTCTTTTTGACGGAAAAAAGGCCCACTACAACTTTTAGTGACGTGTCTTCTCAAAAACTTTTTTATTGTCTTAGTATTTAGCTAACGCTAGACGGAGAGCATCGTGATATTGCACGGAGAAGTTTAGATCTTGTCAGCGAAAACGTAGAAAATGTTAAAACTGACTGTATCGAATACGCAAATTTCTCGTATCACAGAGCTTGTTATTCGGCATTGACAAATAATATTCACATCAATATCTATACGTATCTTGGTACAACGCAACAAAGCTCCCTTGTTGAAGCCTGCTTGCACAGCAAAAATGCTGGAAACTTCATTTAAATACCGGTATAAAACTGCTGAATCTGCCATATATGTCGTATTTTACACAAAGTATTCTTAATATTTCCTGAATCAAAATGGCGTCAATTTATTGCAAAACATGTAAATGCACTGATTTTTCGAAGATGAAATGCTCGAAAACTGCAGGTTTGTGAAGGTGAAAACAAGTGAATTTAGACTTAGTTTCTATAATTTACCCTAATTTTCTATCGTGGGGGCAACAAAACTGAACGATAATCGGCCACAGAATACGGCCTCTAAACCGAGTTAGCAGCTATCAGCCATATATGACGAGCCTATATTTGATTCAGCAAATAAGTTGGTAATCGCATACGGAGCCCTGGGCATCCAGTTTTCAGAGCTATATATAGCCGTTCTCACTATACTAACCGTACAAGACGAACTTTGGGATGTTGTACGTTGCAATGACCTGAAAAAATATAAGTTGTAAGGTGCGTGATAATTGTAGGCGAAAAGAAAGCTTGAAAAGGTAAAAATAATCTATTTCTTCCCACGCAGTAAATACATCTAAGATATAGAAAACAATTCTGATAACAAAATATAGTCGAAAAGATTTCAGATAACAAAATATAGTCGATCCATCATGTTAATGGGAATGGGTAAAACTCTCACGTAAGTGGACGGCAAATTTTTCATCAAAATTCTTTTTAACTGCACAGCGGACATTGTTACATTCCCAGTTTGACCATTCTGGACAAACTGTAAGTCTGGTATGCTGTCAAATAGCGATTCTTTGAGTGATTTTGTAAATTCAATAATTGGCCTGTTATCTTTTTCCTGTGCTTTGCAATAGGATGGATAATATTTGACGATATCTTTCGTATGATGATATTCCGTAGTTAAAACGCCCCAATCTAATAATTGAAGGTGTTTCAGGCCCAATGTAGCGATGGAAGAGAGATAGTTTGTATTAACTTGACATGCCTACAAAAGTAGAAAACATTCCTGCATATATTGTTCTTTTTATTATAAATAACATTTTTAATGCTTCGTGAATCAATTGACTTTAATGTTGTTGTAGAGATAAGGTAAGAAATTATTTTGGGTTAAAATTTTCAATTTTGTTGTCCAATTACAACGACAGAAGATCGTCTTGAAATGATACATAAAAATGTTCCTACTTTAGGAGTTTCTGCCTTTAAAAAGATTTTACGGTCTAATGGCTGATCTACGTTTAAATGTTCAAAAAAGTTGAAAATCTCATACGTGTTCACTAAAGGTATCCGGCCAAATAGAGAGAGTTCTCAACTTGGGCATTTCAATCAAAGCTCCAGAAAATGCCTCAGGAACTTCGCACATGATCAATTCCAAATGGACGAGACTAAAATTTTATAGAAAAGATGGAATAACCAGTTTAAAATAATTAGCCAGATTAGGTCATAAGCATGGTACTATATGACAGGGAATTCAATTTTGCAAGACTTACTTTTTTAGTGAGGACAATGCCCATATTAAACCTTCACTTGAGATCGATCCAGCACGTTCAAGCCTCAAATGTTGTAACTTCGCAAGTTTACCCAAACTCTCGTATGACTGAAAAAACCCCAGCAAGGGACTGATTCATGATTCTGCTTACCCAAGATAAAACGAAGCATGCAATGATTTTGAGGTATTAAAAAGTCTTTACGAAACCAAAGAAGCACATACTACAGTCGGGATGACTACGTGACTGCCAGAATCATGCTATTTCTTTATTTAATAGCTAAAAGGAATTTCGCTTTGCTTATATAACCTCGGCCAGGTGGGAATCATAAAAACAGCTATAGTTCAAAATATACCAAACGAAGTCGGTTTCATCACTATTACGCGACACCAAATTCATTTCCCTCAATATCGATTTGTGCTGTCGAGATTTGTTGACCCTGGGGTTAAACTTTATAATTCATATAATCACCTCAACTTCCCATTCTGAGCAATCTCCCAGCTCAAGATCCTCGAGCTGTGGCAACGAGGTTAAAAAATCAAAATCTTGCGCCGCGAGGTCCCTGAACGTTGTCAAAGCCTAGAAATCGAGGATCGGGGGAAAAATAATGAGAAAATCATTCTATTACTCAAAATGTACTGAACACTTTATTAAAATTTTAATCTATTTAAATAAATAACTGAATAAAGATGTCTGGAGTCGTAGAGGAAGGTATGTCGTTCGTGTATGCGCAGTGTGGCGATGACACTAAACACTACGGTATTTCATATTTTGTGTTATTGAAACTAAGGGCGCATAATGAAGGATTCGAATGAAGTTCGTGAAGCATGACATCCATAAATCAAACCAGCCTATACGTATTGAGAATGAAGGTCGCATGGATGCGCAAAGCCATGCACACATAAATCAAGATAATCATGCAAGGAGAAAGGTAGACCTTCCGAAGATCACAAAAAGGACTGTCAAGGTTGTTGACGTTTAAGGGTTAGAGGCTGTTGTGAGCGTTTTGTTGAGAATTTCGAGTTCAGTGTATGGTCAGCAAGTGCGTTTATTTGTAAACAAAACACGAACATAAAGTCTCACTTTTAATATACAATCTGAGTTCATTGATTGCTGCATTGAAGATTTAAGCTTCGCTACAGGCTGTCATTTTTGAATAAACCAATATATATATATATATATATATATATATATATATATATATATATATATATATATATATATATATATATATATATATATATATATATATATACACCCATTTGCAAAAACGTTGGCCGCAGATAGATATATAGATAGATACTCGAAGTCTAATTAGAATTGCATATGATTACATTTGCATGGGATTTCAATCATATTACACAACATATGCAATTCTAATTAGATTTCGGGTATCTATCTATCTATCTATCTGCGGCCAACGTTTTTGCAAACGGGTGTATATATATATATATATAAATAGCTACTAAGAGCAATGAATTTCTCATGAATGAATTTCGAGAATTTCTCTCGGATTCGGACGAACTGGTCGGTTCCATTTCGGACATATGCTTGCTGCACTTTATACATGCACGAAATATTGGAACTGCGAAATGTATCGTGCATTCATCAGTTTTAACGGCTTTGCGGGGGAAAGCACCTGTGTTGGGAACATGAAAAATGTATATGTTGGTTAAATTCCCTATAACCCTACTTTTTGACGAATTCGTTAACAAAATGAATAGACTGCTAAAGCAACTTAATTTCCAGGAAAGGTTTGTTCGAGAATGAAAATAAAATTACTATGTAACACTGAGAACTGTAATCCACAAATCGAACCGATATATTCGATCGAAGGAAATAAAGGCCCAATTCTCATACGTCGTGCCGAGAACACGCACAAAATTACGGTTAACCTTGCTTTTTAACCTTGCTGTGGTTTAATGCACATGCAAATGACAGCCCAGGATATCGGCGGCGGACCAACATTGGCGCGTAATGCGATATGCGTGGGGACAAAAACTTAAAAGAAGCCCGCTCAAGTTAAATGTGTTTTAACAATCGCTCTTCTGGCTCATTACATGCAAGTTTTATTTTTATGTTTTAAAAATCATGCAAGAATACATAGAAAACACCGTGAACGATGCAGAAAAAAGATGATAAAAAGCACACAAGGATTCAAAGTACTTTACTTCTCTAAATTGTCGGCTGGTCACTAAGGATTTGTACAAGGAGTTCCTTTTGTCTAGCCGGACGGGATACTGAAGACGGGCTTAATGTTTTGACTAATTCCTGTAAATATTTGGCGGGTACTTATCGATCACAAAAGAGATGTCAAAAGTTGCCCATGTAAACCGGGCGCGATTTTCTCAGTTTAGTGTCTTTTCTTCGTCAAACAACTGTGACTACATTCACTACATTTATATGATGGCAACAATTTATCCGTCATTTCATAAGAATAGCCAAAATAGTTGCGTTGTAAATAATGTAAATAAATCGAGGTGCATATTATGTCTATGATGTGGATACTTCGACGCGTAAATCGATACAAAACAATATACTTATAATCTATACAGTATACCGCCAAAATGATTTGATTACTGTACAAAATGTCCGTTTTGTATAGTATCATTTATGTACTGTATGCAGAATACCAGGTATCGTGACTTGCTATCGACATAATATATATTCGTGTAAGAGATGTGTAAGAGATCTATCAATACATAAACAACACAGCGTCGTTTCTT